TAAGATATTTTTTTGTGCAAGTAATGAACGTGTAAATTATTACTCTTTTAAAGTACTTATAAATTATAAAAAAAAAATACTGTAAAAACGCCAGTGCAGGAACACAGGTAAACTTAGTTTGATAATACATAGGTAAATTCAWTCTGATATTAATATTAATAATACAGGGTTGGTTCGGTAGGCTATGTGTGGATTAGTGAGAGCAAACAAATGATGCGCTGAAAACCTCTTAACTAGTATTTTAAATGAGTAGGTAGTGACTGGTTTTGAAAAATGAGTTTTACAGTACATTATATTTTATAATAACTAGAGCGCGGATTTTTATGCACTTATGAGTATCGAAATGTGCCATATAATATGCAGTAAAAATCATGAAAATATGTAAAAAATATGCAGTCAAAATCATGAAAATATGCAAACATTTTTATTTATTTAAAATTTACAGTAAAACTTATAATAATTAATTATTTAAATACTTAATAAAAACAATTTAGGGAATTTTCTGAAAACCTTAATTTATTATTAAAATTTTATTTATTATATGCATTTCAAGTTTTTCTTCTGTGAAGCTGTGTCCCTTATCGGATAACATATTTTTAAAGACTGAGAACGAACGTTCTAYGTCAACCGAAGTTATTGGGGTAATTTGAAGCAACTTAGTATTTGTCGGGTCTTTATAAAGAGCTTCGAGCTGAACGTTTTCGCCTAATAACACTGATCTAATTTTTCGTAGAATCTTCAGACCTTAATTTTTGTTGGAAGCTCGTTTAATTTTGTAGTAAGTGTTGYCCCTTTCGATCCAGAAATAGAATGAATTTTTAATCGTAATCGATTATTTATCTTATAAAGGTTTAAATAAATATATATATAAATAAATATTTAGTGACTATGAAATTTAGTTTTAATTTTTCTACTTGACAAAATATAATTTTATACATTTTTTTAAATTTTCGCTTCAATATGCAATAAATTTTGAATTTTTTCAAAATATGCAGAAATATGCAAAAAAAAATTTCACCATTAGCTTCAAATT